CCCTCTGGGAATACTCTCCATCACCTCATCTAACTCACTCCAGAATCTCTCCTTCTCTTCTAACTCACACCCTACTTGTGGAGCATAACCACTGACTACATTCAACATTACCCCTTCAATTTCCAACTTCAAACTGATCACCCTGTCTGACACTCTTTTCACCTCTAAAACATTCCTCACGAGCTCCTCCTTCAGGATCACTCCTACCCCATTTCTCTTCCTGTCCACACCATAATAAAACAGTTTGTATCCCCCCTCTAATACTACACACTTTGCTACCCTTCCACCTGCTCTCCTGCACACACAGTATATCTACCTTCCTTCTCTCCATCATGTCTGCCAGCTCTCTACCTTTCCCTGTCATTGTGCCAACATTAAGAGTCCCTATTCTCAGACCTATACTTCTGCCTTTCCTCTTCACTCTCTGTCTATGAATCCTTCTACCTCCTCTCCTTCTTCGACCAACAGTAGTTCAATTTCCACTAGCCTACCAGGGACAGTACTAGATGTTATTGTACGTCTCTTGAATTTTTTAATTATAATGTTGTTATTTTCTGAACTAATGTTTTTTATAGTATTATTACATTTTTGTTTTCAAAGGTTGCTGAGTGGTTGTGCCCTGAGCATGAAAAAAAAGCTGAAACCGTTCTGCGTCACTGACCAGCAGTTAGCCTGCATCATATGCCGAGATGGGAGAGGCATGAAGAGCACAAGTTTAAACCAATCAAAGAGGCAGATGCACTTCTGAAACAGGAAGAGGTGAGGCTTGTGCATCAAATTTCTGGTGATATCCTTGCTACAGATGGCGTGGCCAAGACACAGAGGAGAGAAATAACAAAAACCAAAGAGAAATCTCAGCAGCTGATGACACAAATCAGCAAACAGTTTGAGGAGATGCACCAGTCTCTGAGAAAGAGAGAAGATGAGATAAAGAATGAGCTGAAACTCATAAAGCAAGAAGCTGTTCAGAAAATGAGCGAGATGTTAAAAGAGCTGGACTGCTATTAGCAACATGATGACTGCAAAATTGGGGCCCAGTGGAAGAAACCTCCGTGTGGTGAATACCTCTCTCTCCTTGTGGCCTTATGAAAGTCACCTGCAGTTCTTTATATGGAAGGAGATGCTTCAGGTGAAAACACCTGTGTCACTTGCCTGGCCACACATATTAGTGACTTAAATACACCAGTACTGTAAAATAAGACAGTCTATTAAATGATGCAGTCAATAAATAAATGCATACATACATCCTCTGTGATTCTGTAGATATAATAAAAATGATGTGGTGTAAGAATAATGTTTGGAAGCGGCTACTTTGTTTGTTGAATTGTGTTCCATTACTGTAAATAAACATGATGAAGTCAAGAGTCTGACTTTAATGTGGTGTTGATCCTGATCTGCGTATCAAGTGTTCTGGTTACATTCTTGGATTTAAGATAAAATATTGCACTGAGCTACATGTTGTGAAGCAGAACTGTGTGAAGACTTCCAATGTGCGTAGACATTTAAAAACCAACTGTGGAACAAAATGCTGGTGTGTAATTCAGTCGACAGTTTCAAAATCTGGCCACTAGAGGGTGATGTTACACTATTCTACGCATCTTGAGTTGTAATGGTCTTTGAAAGTGAGGGGAAAGCACCACAGATATGTTTCTGAGTTTGTACAAGTGATATGCAAATCACTCGCGAGTACTAATTATTATTTTGAGTAGCGGTCTGCGGGGGAAATAAATGTACAGTGCCATTTAAACCTCGAAGTGACAGGGGAGTGAGTGACACATGGGGTGTGGCGTTTCAGGGGAAATGAAAGTAAACGGCGCAAACTAAAGCAAAGTCCGTGAAGCTGCGCTGTGCAAACAGAAACGCTTCAGTCATGGAGTCAGCCTTGTACTCCGAACATCTGACGTGTCCTATTTGTCTGACCATCTTCTCTGACCCAGTTAATCTTCTGTGCGGACATTCGTTCTGCAGGCAGTGTATTACAGCTACCCTGAGCTCACAACGCCGGTGTCCACTGTGCCAGACAGCTGTTCCAGGAGAAAGTAACTGTCTTCCGACCAGCCATATACTGAAAAGCCTCGCTGAAAAGGCCAAAGAAACGGAGAAGATAAAGAAAGAGCGCGGACACGACAAAGTAGAGGTGCGTTGTTATAAGGCAATAGAGTCAATTTGAGATGCTTAGTGGTTACTTAAACCACAAATGCAAACTTGTGTGCGCATTTGGGATTGCGCACATTTTAAAGCCCTACAGCATGTAATCTGTCATATGTTACTGTCATTTATTAAAGCCTACTTTCTGTGATATTTATAAGAAAGCACCACAGCGTAAGGCCCTCATATAACTGAGAATTTCAGCTAGTGTCACGATCTTGTTCTTAATGTACTCTATTTACTTTTACCTGTTGTATTTATTCTGAAAAATTCATTTTAGCAGGTGGCTGAGTTGTGCCCTGAGCATGAAGAAAAACTGAAACTGTTCTGCGTCACTGACAGGCAGTTATGCTGTATCATATGCCGAGATGCCCAGAAGCATGAAGGGCACAAGTTTAAACCAATCAAAGAGGCAGATGCATCTCTGAGACAGGAAGTGCAGAACGATATGAAGAGCGTTTCTAGTGATATCCTTGCTACAGAGGGCCTGGCCAAGACACAGAGGGAAGAAATAACTAACACCAAAGAGAAGTCTAAGCAGCTGATGACAGAAATCCACAAACAGTTTGATGAGATGCACCAGTTTCTGAGAAAGAGAGAAGATGAGATAAAAAAAGAGCTGAAGCTCAAAGAGCAAGAAGCTGTTGAGAAAATGAGCGAGACGTTAAAAACTATGGAAACAGCTTTGTCTGAGAGCAGAGAGGTGGAGGTCAAAGCGAAATCAGTTCTGGAAATTGAAGAACCTGAGAGGTTTATGAAGAGCTGGACTGCTATTAGCAACACGATGACTGCAAAGTTGGGGCCCAGTGGAAGAAACCTCCATGTGGTGAATACCTCTCTCTCCTTGGGGCCTTATGAAAGTCACCTGCAGTTCTTTATATGGAAGGAGATGCTTCAGGTGATCAAGTCCCGAGCAGAACTGTTGACACTCAAAAGCAACAGTACATGGTTAACTGTGTCTGATGATGGACGAAGCTTGCTCTCTACATATCAAGAAAGCCAGTCTTATACACAGTCCTCATTTAACTATGGTGCCTTTAATCACCCTTTCACTGCAAAGGGGCAGACAAAGTACCAGTTTCTACCGGGACATGTTTCGCAGACAGATCGTGTACAATATGCTTCTGCATCCAGTATCACTGAGTTCACCTCAGGACAGCATTACTGGGAGATAGATGTTGGAAACAGGAAGTATTGGGAACTAGGGATACTCAATAATTTCCTGAAATTTAATGGTAAAACATATGTGGTCTGCAGGAGAAATTGTACAGTGCCATTTACAGCCAGACCCCGAAAAATTGGGATTTACCTGAACTGCTCATCTAAGGAGCTCTTCTTCTATGATGCAGACAGCATGAAGAATATTCACACTATGAGCCTTAATCTCTATGCAGGCGACACAACGTCAGCATATCTTCAAATTGATAATAATCAAGATCGTACTCCACTGACTGTGTGCTGGTACTGAAGGGTGGCATTAACTCAAAAACACCTGTGTAGATCGAGAACCCAACCTGATGACAGTGTACTGGTACTGAATACTACAAATCAAGACATCTCAGATAAAGAGAGAAAGAACTGTAACATGTAACATTTCAAAAGGTTCCAGGAACTGATCTCAGGTACCAGAAGTCCCTCGGAAAAGGAACTAAAAGAATATTAAAAGACAGACTTGTTCCTCAAAAGGGTTTTGGTCCTCTGGGAAAGTTCTTACAATGCAAAACTTAACAGGTGTTTATGTTGTCATGACAAGAGCTTCTGTATTTATAATGCAGACAGATGTCAATGGGAAGGTTCAACAACCAGTGTCACTCCTCTGTGTACAACCCAGGACAGCTAGACTGTTGCTGGTTAATTCTTAGACTAAATGAGGCAATGAAAGTGTCAAAAATAAATGACTTGCTCAGGTTGTGGAAAAGAAATGTTATTACCTGTATAAAAAACTTGTTCACAGATGGCGTTTTTATGAATTTCTCTGACTTAATGACAGATTATCTCAAAAGAATTTCTTTCCTTGTCTCCAAATCAGGCAGTGTGTTGCTATCTTATTTCCTAATATTCCAGCTAAATATCTATCTCAGCCATATAGTGCCTTCTTTAAATTATGCACCTTTCAGAAATATTTGATTTCACAGATTTATGAAAATGTGGGGTGAAACTATGGAATAATTTAAGTGTGGACATAAAAATAGTAATAGAATTGATGAGTTTAACCATAAATATAAAGGTATGTGTCAATCAAGATATATGCAAAAACAGGCTCAATGATTAATTACATGGACAATTGTGGTAACATTCTTTAGTATATCACTTGTGTGGTGTAAGAATGTTAACACTGTTATATTCTTTTTTTAGTATAATATGTGTGTGTGTAGAAGTGAATCAGTTATTGCTTGCAAACCAATGATGGTAAGATGATGTCATGGGGTAGGACTGGATAAGTCTGACTTCTTCCTACTCTATTCAAGCATGTGCTAGGTATAAGCAAATTGATATTGCATTATGTGTAAAATTATGTGTGTTGTCATATCAACTGTTTTACATGCTTGAAAGAATAAATAAAATCAAATGTGTGTTCAACAAAATCTGTAAAAAAAAAAAGAAACTAGATATTTTACATCACTTGTAGCATGTTGTAAATGTTTACTTTGTTAGAAGGAGCATGGTGGGAGTTTAGTTTTTGATTAGCTTGTTTTTGATTCCTTTTAACTTTAT